GAGTCTAAATATTTTCAGACAATTATGTGTCCATTATTGTAGTCCTATACCCCTTGAAGGATTGTCTTCAAACTTGGCATAATTTTCACCAGAACAAGACACTTTGCAGAACCCATGCAGAACCCATGCCATAGATGTGATGGCTCAAAGACACACTTGAAGGTCAAATATCATACAACCCTTTAAAGAATTTTGTTTAAATCTAAACTCAATTGCTCACCTCAAAATAGGGATGTGCAGAACCCATGCCACTGCTGTGCAGCTTAAGGTCAATGTCACCCTTGAAGGTCAAACATCAGACTATTTTGTGTTGCTATTTAGGTCCTATACCCTTTTAAGCATTTTCTTCAAACTCGGCGGCAACAAGGTGGTGTGCTCTATATGTATTTTATATTGTACAAAACCCGTGCTGAGTAGATGCTCTTTTAACGTTTGTAGCACTTTGTACTTTTTGTATGATATACCCTTAACCTGAAGGAAAGAAAAGTGATTAGTCTTTGCCACCGGTAAAGAGTCAGGTCTACCTGCCCATTTAGAGCCTGTACTATTGGTTGATTAACTTCAAATTTTCTTCTAAATATTTCAAAAATTAGTTTGGAGGCCAAATTCAGCAGGTGATGGGTTAAATTTCTATATATTATTATTGTGATGAAACATCTCAATTTGGTAACCTTTTAGTCAGTAACATTTAGTAAATAATGCCTACAAACATGAACTACTTTTACTTGTGTAGCATTTGTGGTGCTTTTGGTTTTTTAATTGAAAAATAAGTTAGTAGGCAATATTTTTCATAAAATTCAATCATTTTTTTGTGTTTGTAACATGAAATGATGACTATAAACAAACAATATGCTATACAAAATAACAATTATAAGATTATTTTATTGACATTTTCATGATGATTATGTACAAAACTTGATATGTAATATTTAATTTAGATCTGCAATGATGTGTTCTGAATCTTTTCAGTCATTTCTTTAGTCATATATATTTAGTGCAATAACTTAAATTTTCACAAAATCACAATCAATATTACATCTTCTTTATTTTTTGTAAAATTCTATTGCTGTGTAAGAATACATCAATAAAAAATAATTATACTTTATATCACATAAATTCTAAAATTGAGCATTGAAGAATTATACTTCACCTTCACATTTTATGTTAAGTGATAAAAAAATGAAAAATAAAAATAAATTTTGTATATATAAATATTAAACATCTTATTTATATTATGAAAATAATAACACATCTGTACATCTATAAATCAACAGAACTAAATTTATGTGTTATATCATGTTACAATAATTTCTATAATTAAATATTGAATGAATGATAATGATCTGATGTGTTTATCCCATAGTTAGTGACATGTCATATCTTGTCATGTCTTTTACATCATTTTATACAATCTTTTACATCACTTTATACAGTTCGATTGAATTTCTGTTGCCCCACTGTTATATGGAATTAAGGTCAGACTGAAGTTTTGTACAAATTGATCTGATACTGTGTCCAAATGAGGTAATTGTAGTGTCATCAGCAAACATGTCTGATGTAGAATGTGATAAATGCAAAGGTAAGTCATTAATGTAAATAATGAAAAGGAGAGGGCCTAAAACAGAACCTTGAGGCACACCAGATTTTATATCCTGAGCTTCAGAATATTTTCCAGACACACATACTTGTTGTGAGCGATCACTTAGGTTTGATCTAAACCATGAAATTGAATTTTCATTTATGTTATACAGTTGTAGTTTTTTCAATAATAGGTTATGATTGTTCAAAATAAATGCTTTTGTTAGGCCCAGAAATATAGTCCCTATAAGTTTTTCTTCATTTATTGCACTGATCCAACTGTCAATAATTGAAGTAAGAGCAGTATCGCATGAATAATTTGTGCGAAAGCCAGACTGATTTTGCTGAAAAAGGGAGTTAGTTTCAAGAAATAACTTAAGATGATTGCTTACATATCTTTCTAGAACTTTCGATAGAACTGGTAGTATTGATGTAGGCATGTAATTACTTTTTTCATTTTTGTTGCCCTTTTTATGTATAGGAGTAACTTTTGCTTGCTTAAAGGCAGAAGGAAATAAGCCACTTGATAGACTGAGATTGAATATTTTTTCCAAAGGTTTGGATATAATTTTAGAACTCATTTTAAGATATTTGGCTCCTATACCATCTAGACCAGTTGAATTTCTGATATCAAGATCTTATAGTACTTTGTTTATGAATTGACTTGTTCATTTACAGGTATCTTGAAAGGGCATTTATCCTTTGAATACATTTCAATAAACTCATGCAATTTTATTTCATCTTCATGTGAGCAATATCCAGGTGCCGATTTAAAGATATCAATGAAATAGTCATTGAATACTTCGGCTGTTTTAGTGGGTCTGTTATTTGATTTCCTTCTTCATCTTGAATATACTTTGTTTGGTGATTTGTAGATTTTCCTGATATTTGTTTGAGATTTTTCCACATTTCTTTTGCATTGTGTTTATTGTTATTTATAGTTTCTGAATAGTAAATATTTTTTCGGAATTTGAAATCAGATTTTTAACTTAATTTTTCCAATATTTATATTCTTCATTGTTATTTAATTTCTTAACTTTATCCCTTTGTTTAGAAGCATGAAGAATATCAGGATTGTAGCAGTCTAGAAGATGTGTATGTTTTACACGCTTCTTTTCAAGAGGAGCATGTGCATTTAATACTTGATTGAATAAAGAGTTGAAATAATCCAAAGCATCATCTGGGTCATCATATATTTCTAACACTGACCAAGGCTGCTGTTCAAGAGATTCAAGAAAATATTTTTCATCAAATTGTTTCATATTTCGGTATTAAATAATTTGATGTAAAGGGTCTTTGGTAGCATTTGAGGAGATTTTGCGTGTGAAGCAGATTGGAAAATGAACACTGATTTGATAAATGAGGTACATTGATTTCAGAGATATTGTTAGGGAAATTAGTATATAGATGATCTATAATTGTATTTGATGTTTGAGTTACTCTGGTGGAGTTTTTCAACTAGCTGCCTCAAATTGAAACTGTTAGTGATGTTATTCCAAGAAGTGTTATTAGTAGACATAGTTAATAAATCATAATATTTAAAAGTTAAAATCTCCGGTCAATATGATTTCTTTGTTTTCAATATATATTTTATCTAAAATTTGTTCTCAATATGCATTCCAGTTTGCAGGTGATGATGGTGGCCTATCAATATAGCCAAAAATAAATGTTTTTTGTTGATTGTTTTATATTTCAAGCCAGATAGATTCAATGTCCTCATTTTGTAGATCATTCCGAGGAACACCTGAAAAAATTTCATTTACATATAAAATAAGTCCACCGCCATTTGTTTTCCTGTCCTTGCGAAACATTTGGTAACCTTTAAGCTCAAATTCACTGTGTTCAAAAATGTCTCACAAAGCCCAATAATATCCAAATAAGAATGAATATGTAACAAGATTTTTAATTCATCAAGTTTTGGATAGAGATAATGAATGTTAAGATGGAAACTTAATTCCTTGCTTTGATAGAAAGTTTGTGTCTTTAGAGCTTAAGTGTATGGTTTGCTCTGTAGCATTATTATCTTTTGCATTTTCACTATTTTGGTAATGGTTTTCAATATTTACACTATCTACATTAAAATTGGCATTGGAAGATTTTTCACTTTCAGGATGGATTGTTGTCAGATTTGTCTGCTGTTCAAGTAGGAAGTCACAGTGACTGTTTTCTATCTTTGAAGTGGTGGATAAGTGTACATCCATGGGGGTAAGCTCCGCGTCGCAGTTGGATGATTGAAGTGTGGGAAACCCTAATGCCTGGTTTGTCTCATGTGTGGTTGGTACTGCGGTGATCTGTATGGACGACTGGCCTGACGAAAATTTCCTGGTGTTTTCCTTGGGTTGATGACGAGTACTTGTCTTATTGTGGCCTTGATTTGTTTAGCAAAAACTGCAGCTAGATGAAGTTAGAGTATTTAAAGTGATTGGTCTGTCTGCTGATATTTCAATAAGGAATTTGTGTGATCAATAAAGGTCATATATCTTTCATTACAGAGTTTCCTCAATAGTTCATTTGTATTTCTTACCTTTTCTACGTATGACATATCTGTTTTCATTGGTAATATTGAGAAGACCACGTACTATTTTAGCTTGTGCGTTGTTTTGTTTCAAAAGATCTGTCAATTCAAGGAACTGTTGCTTTACTTCCTCTGGTTGATCACCATGTAATATGTTGTTGATGCCAAGTTAAATAAGATAAAATAAGATATAACTCTGATGAGCCGTAATTATCGAGTAAAAACCGGAGTCATTTAGGAATAAACGTTAAATGTTGTTTTCTTCTTCTTTACGTTCTCAAATATAAAAGAAAGGAATGTAAAAGATTTATTACCCTGTTCTGCATGTTAAAACATTATAAGTAACGTACTGTGGCATTTCAATAACAATTAAAAGATTGTTTAGTACAAAAAGGCAAAATTGTATTAAATACTCTCAACGGCGATGCGTTGCTACTATTAGAATGTCTTAAGACACCGAGCATTGTCCCCATTGTGATGATTAGAACAATATATACTGAATTCGAAGGACGTCGACGCACTTTTATTAAGTCCACAATCGTGCTAACGGGTTCCATTCCTTTTATACTTCATTCAGAATGCCAGACCGGTCGATTTTGTGGCAATAGCGACAACGAGAAAAAAGACCACATGCATTGCAATTTAACATTTTACTATGAATTAATGAATTTAAAGTATGAGGATTTCATATATATGCAGTTGCGCTTACGCGCTTACATTTATAGCTCAAAATATTTTTTAACTCTTTGGTTTTTGGTGTCTTGACAACAATTAATTTTTCACTGTCATTTTCATAGAGTGTTTTATAATTATCATTAGCCTATGCACAAATGCAATATGTTCCGACCAGGTAGTACTTGCCACCCGCAATTGGTAAATACTTTACGTTAATTTCATTTCTTTGAGTAAATAACAGTTGTCTCCCTTAGTACAAAATACTCTTTTCAAAGAAGAATTTTCACAACTTTGGAAACAGCACGTGTAAATTTTAGTATTTTGTAATTTAACTAAAATATGGGACGACCAAAGAAAAAGGTGATCTATATTTGTCTTAAATAAGTATACATTCATATTTACATTTTATTTAGTTCGTCCTGATTTTTTTCATTATTTCATTACTTGAAAATTTTAGGCAGAAATTATTTTTATTTCAGCATCAAAGTGGTGCTGCAACTGCCTTCATCACCAGAACTAAAGCTGTCAAACGACTTCAAATATCGCTGAAAGACTTTAGGTAAATTGGTTACTGCTAAATATTTCTAGAAATTTCCACATTGGTGCTTTAAATATGACTTTGCTTTGAAATATTTTTGCTTCTAGGCAAAGCAACGTCATATTGAAATTGCTCAAAAACCCATATCCCTGTTTCTCTTATTCTCGGGGTTTCTCGTATTCTCGTGGAATCATTAAAACGGATGGAAGCCACGCTCGCGACTTCCGTCGATATCCGAAAACATGTCTATTTAGCAGAGCATTTGGTAGACAGACGTTTCACTATTGAGACGGTTCACACCAAGACGTTTCACTCCCAAATGGGAGTGAAACGTCTTGAAGACATTTCACTCCCATTTTATACCAAAATTATTTTGATACGTATGATATACTACAAATGGACCTTAATTTTACTAAAAAATGAAAGTTTGTATGTCATAATTGTTAAAATTTTATTTTTGTATTTTTTACTTTATAAGAGAGATCTTTGATCTAATATCTTTTCAGATATTTATTCTTATTTAGGGAAGGATATCATATATGACCAATTTAATTGTATGAAAGTTGCAGTTCTCTAAAGATGTTAATGATAATAATTAATAATGATTTTCTTTGCATTAAGTATATTTTTATATCAATAAGTAAAAAAATCTGTAGATAATCTTACATTATATATTAAATATGATTATCTGATTAAATATTATTTTATTTTTGTTATAATTTATAACCAAAACTTATGGAGGAGTTTCTGTTTCCATGACTTTGGTTTTAATTGGCTGAACATTGTCTAAAAATATTTCGATGGTCCAATAAACAACTAATTAATAACTGTTGATGCTAAAGTGCAATATTTATACAACTAATTTAATAGTGATGTCAACTGTTAATTGATGGTCTCAGTGTTTATACAACTAATTAGGTGATGAGATTACTGTTAACACCATAATTACCTAAGTTTGTTTAATGGCTACTGTTCAATAAATTGATACAGAAATAATTTAAAAGAATAATTAATTTTATGCACATTTTCTGCATTTCATTGATAAATATATTTACAAAAAAACTAATAAATATATTTCATATATTGATTTTATTTAATTACTGTACTGATAGTGGTTTCAATATTCAAACTGGTACTTACAATGTGTCTTTGTTGTTCATGAACATTTTCATTTTGTTATTCTATTATCTTTCTTGATTTATTATAAATAGAATTTTTATTATGTTGTTACTGTTATAATAAAAACGTTATTTCAGACATTTGTCTTTCATTTATACCTCTTATCATTCAAACCATATTTAAATGAGTATAATGATAATCTTCTAATAATTCATCATAATTATGTCCTCATTGAAACCAACATTTTTACTCATAATAATTAACAGGAATTCTTCAAAACACTGTTTAAATGGAACAAAATTCACATTTCTGAGCTGATACTATACTTATTACAGTATAGATCATAATTATTTACATTTTCTCTTATATTTCAGAAAAATTATACTTTTATAATCATTCTTCAAATTCATAAATTCTTCTTAACGATACTCTCAAATTCAACAAAATGAATCATTAAATTGAATTTCCCCGTCATAATGAAAATAAATTTTCTTAATAAAAACATATAAAAAATGGGAGTGAAACGTCCATAAAATTGACAAAATGGGAGTGAAACGTCTAGGTGTGAACCGTCTTGGGAGTGAAACGTCTCAATAGTGAAATGTCTTGGGAGTGAAACGTCTGACATTCAGAGCATTTCATCTCCATTAAAAAAATAAAAGAAATGCGGCAAAAACAGATAAAAAACAAAAAAAACTGTGGAAATAATCGTAAAATCCAGAAAATATAATTCAATTTATCAATTTCCCCCAAAAAATCATCAGTTTTCTAGTTTTTTCCATGTTGCAGAAACCTGTAGTGGTTCTCTGACGCAAGACGCTTCAAATGACGGTCTCATACTACTATTTATACAATACAGCTCAAAATATTTGTTCCACGAATAGATAGTATAAAAAAGATATGAACTCTAATTAAAAACCAATAATGAAACATTGTTTGTCCTAAACACATTTCATTTTTGACAACTGCAACGGAAAACAGTAGTATCCATTGTTAAATGCTCATATAACTAATAAGTAACTAATAAATAAACGTAAACTTAATATATATTAGAGAGATTATGTAAATAACAACACTAAATGGAGTTCAAACTATTTTTGGAACAATCAAAATCATTTGATACCAAAGAGGCGTCAATATGATCCTAAAAGTTTGATATGGCCTGCCAAGCTGTTATTAAAAGACAATAAAATTACAGATTTAGGTCATTTAACACTTAATTAGGTGTGGCACTAATGATTTGAACTGGTATGTAGAATAAAATCATCACATAGCGACCAGCCTTAACAACCAATCAAATTCCACGAGAATACGAGAAAGCACATGCTTCACATAGAGGGTGAAGGTCAGTATATACAAGCAGAAATATCTTTAGTTTTGCTTACAGTTACGATCTTTCTTTCTTTGTATTTTGTTAATAAGGTATTTCTCTGTGTATCAGGCTAAAAATACTGTAACAGAATGTTTTATAAATATATTGCAACCAAGTTTAGTCCTTAACCCCCCGAGAATACGAGAAAACAGGATAGTATGTTCCCGAAGTAAATTGGGTGAAATGAAAAAACGCTTGAATTAGCTTAAAAATACATTAATTTTGACCTATTCTTGAACAATATCATAAAATAAATACCTTTTAAAAAATAATTAAACTATCATGATTTAATCCTCTTATTTAATTAAATTACTTATACAGGCTCAGCTGATAAACAAATGGCTGTCACACAGTGCGCGAAATATGATTGGCTAACTCAGATGCAAGAATTTTTAATCAGTCAAAAGTTTCAAACGAAATATTTTGAATTAAATATTTGCTTATGCACCGTCGGTGTGTACGAATATATTTTTCCATTCAAAAATTTAAATCAAGTTTTAAAACGCTTTACCTAACCAGTATGGCCGATAGGCAAAACTACATTGATGTTCATATTTTATTTTAAATTGATACCTATTGAGTTTGTGTTAATGACCAGGCCTCGACATTAGCGGTGGTCCGTTGGTCCGAGACCACTTGATTTTGACAAGGACCACCTAATTTTAAAACCCACTGGTCCGTCGGACCACTTGAATTTTCTGGTTGATGCAAGGCTCATTTGGGAGAATGGCAATTTGGTCAAAAACATGTTATATAATTTTGTTTAAAATATATGTCCGATGTACATGTATATGGTTCATTAATCTCTGATTAGTTAAAGAAGTTCTTAAGTCATCAATAACTTTCATTTTAAGTCGCTAAAATTTTGTTTATGCGAGTTAAAAAAGTTAAGAGTTTGTGATATAAATTTAGGTACAAAATTCATTCAAATGGTGCTAGTAATTATGCATCGTCTGATAACCACGGCGGAACCATTAACATTTATGTTATGTTACATGTAAATCAACCGTGAGTATCCGATGATGGTAATTATATGATATTGGATAAACTTAAATTTCAGATACTTGAATAACGGCAGCAAACGAAAGGAACTTGAAAAATACATCTAGTAATTCTATGCTATTTATCTTTATTTTAACTGTTTAACGATAAGAGATCTGTTTCTTCTAGAGTTGAAATTATTTTAAAAGGTTAAAAATACCCAATGTCAAAAATGAATATCAACCAACAAGCAACAGGGAGGTAAAATTCTGTAATATAAATCTGTGAGAAAAATAAGATAAGTTATAGTAAATAATAACATTGTCATTATTTTAATAATTTAGATATTTCCTTGTTTTCAAAGACAAAAATAAGATAATTTATTAGTTCCTTTAAAAATGTTAATCTGTAAAAGATGCTATATTATTATCATGATTATAAGACGTACCGCGTATCAGCAATGAATATTTGAATAACAGTAAGAAAATAACAGACACAAATGGCATCACTATTCCTTAACTTGAGTTGAGAGAGAAATCACTTTAATATAAAAGTTAACATAAATAAAAGCTCTGTTGTGTATCTTTGACTGAGATAAAAACAAATAAACAAATAACTCTATGATAAAATACCTACTGACTTGCTCTCACTTTTCTGATTAGATGAAAACTATATATCTAAAAATATCTGATTTCTTTAAAGATTAATAATACATCTTTGTCATAAAGTTTAAACATTTTTTTCTACATTTGCAGTAAAAAGATATAATAATAATAACTGACCACCTGACTTCTGGAAGGACCACCTAACTTTCAAATCTAGTGGTCCGGCGTACCACCTGCTTAAAAAAGTTAGTGTCAAGGCCTGATGACTGAGCATGAAGTTGAAAGAAAATTTAGACATTAGACATTTTTTTATTTTGTTTATGAACCTACGTGTTTGAGCAATAACTATTAGACGTAAACTTTAACAAGCCTGTAATGTCTGATATATTGAACTATCTGCTAAAGTGTTCTGCTTATCTTGAAACACTTTCCCTGTACAGATGATGATTTATATCTCTCAGATACTTCAGATTTATTTTGTTGTTTTAAATTACCTTCTTGCAAGAATTAGATGGTGGCAAAATCCTTGACAAAAGAAGTCACATAATAAAGGAAAAGCATTAATTACATTTCACAAGCCAAAATCAAGGAGTAAAGGACTCCCAAACTTCCACTAATGTATGCTCTGTATATAGTAGGCTCATTCTGTATATGCACTATTTGCCTGTAGACTACTATATGGTTTAGTATAAAGTATGGATAACTGAATTTTCTGTTAACATCATAATTTTCCCCAAAATTGACTTTTTTCTTATCCCCCTACTAGGGTCCAGCATCTTCCCCTTTCCCTAAAAAAAGAAAACCTGGGCCTTATCCAGAAAATTGTCACTATTTTTCAAGAAATATGAAACTCCTCTATGTTTAAATTTTATCTGGTCTTCAATGTTCCCTGACACTACACCTTTTGTGCTGATGATTTCTCAATTTTCTGTTCTGCATTTTGTCACATGGAATAAACAATCAAGGTCAATTTGTTGTACATAGTAATATCAACTAAGCAGTATACATGTATACACCCTCACAGTTAGTGTTACACACAGTAGGGGCGAGGTGTTGCTTTGTTTTATCAACTTGATAATGAAATTTTTTGTCTTCCTGTAGAATATGCTCATGAATGTATGTAAAAATTTCAGACGACTATGTATATTGAAGGGGATTTACCCAGTTGAGCCACTTCACAGAAAGAAAGCTGGCAAAGGAAGTACCTCAAACAGAACATACTACTTTAACAAAGATATACAGTTCTTACTTCATGAACCACTCATCAATAAATTCAGAGAGTTTAAGGTAAAGTCATAACTGTGAAAGTAATAAGGGTTTAAGGCAGTCTTGACCCTAAATACACAAACTGTGGTGCCAAAATGTGGCACCATTCCCCTTCCCAAAAGATGTACATTTTTCCCCCCATTTTTAAAAAATATTCCTCAAAATTTTGAAATTTGCTTTCTGTAAACTAAAATATGTAAAACTGAACCTCATTTAGTAATTTCACTATTGTTTGTGCTGGCTATATTCTCTCAAAAACAGGGCAAGAGTACATTATTCTTGTATATCATCTGCAAATTTACCCAAAATCTATAGATTTATAGATCTGTATTTTAAGCATTTTCTTTCAGATTTATATCACAAATAAATTATCTTTTCATTTTTCAAAAACCTTTGGAATGTAGAGCATGACTTACACATGTATGTAACACATGTTGTACAGTATTATAGAATCTTTCATAATTTGTATTTTCTTTCAGCATTTTATGAGAAGACTGAAGAAAGCATATGGCAGAAAAAATTTGAATGCTGCAGCTAGAATAAAGAAGAATAGACCTAAATACAAACTTGATCATATTGTCAAAGAAAGGTAGATTCCTTGTTTATAATGTTAGCATGACTGATGCATTAAAAATACAAGATTATTATTCTTATTTGAAAACTTGTGTCGACATAAAAATTTAAATCTTGGAACACTTATTGACATGAATACTTGAAATTCTATTGACAAGAGCACTTTAAAAGTAATAAATATTTTTTTTTTTAAAAAACAAGAAAAAATGTCTTGGTCTAAATAATGTGTTACAATTGAATAGAATTGAAGTCTCTTCATTTATGCATCTAAAGCAGCAGTATTTTAATTTTTAATGCAAGATTTATATGAATTTCTCTACTTTTGTGCTTGTAGATAATAAGCAGCATGGCCTTTTTTTATTATACAATTTTTAAGAGAGAAAGTATATTTTTAAAATAGTTGCATACAATGTAGAAACTAGAGGTACATGTCTACCATTTCAGATATCCATCATTTATTGATGCAGTAAGAGATTTAGATGATTGTTTATCAATGGTGTTTCTTTTCTCAACATTTCCTCAAACAAACGTCACTGACTGGAGGTTTATACAGTTGTGTCGTAGACTTACTGTAGAGTTCATGCATTATGTCATTGCCTCACAGTCTCTAAGAAAAGTAAGTATATTGTTGTATAGTGAGAAACTAACATTACATTGTAAGTTATGGTCACGATTTTGAATTATAAACAGTATCTTTGAGGTTGAAAAATCTAAAATATATCACACTGTTCCAATTTATCTTTAGCTCATCTGTATCAAAGAAAAAGTCAAGCTGTCATGATCACTGCTTCATCATTGCCAACAAAGCTGTTGTTGTTGTCATACAAAACCTGTCATGTTGCCCTTTATTCAAACAAGTATCAAAACTAAGTATCAAAACTTAGTAATCAAAGCTGCAGTTGTAAAATAAGGGGCATTGTTAAAGCAATATTTTTAAGAGTATGTCCCTTGTTAACTTAGAATATTTCTTGAAATTGGTTTTGGATAGGTATTGACCTAACAAATGAGTGTTAACTTCGGATGGGTTGCTCTTGTTTTGCAGTATAATGAAGGAAAATGTATGTTCTTCTCTAAAAACTCTTATTGATAAGTTGACTATTGATTTCTTTCAGATTTTTATTTCAATAAAAGGTATATATTACCAAGCAGAAATAATGGGTCAGATAGTGACATGGGTTACACCACACAAAGTTGGCTTTGTTGTAAGTATTGTAATTTTTCATAAGTTGATGCTTGTTCTTGGCCGAGTGGTTAACGCTGTTGACTTTAAACCACTTGCCCCTCATTGCTGTGGGTTTGAAATCCTGATTGAATTTGGATTCTTTCATGTGAGGAAGCTATCCTGCTAGCTTGCGAACATTGGTGGGTCTACTCAGGTGCCTGTTTGTGCCTGAAATAATGCACAGAGGGGCACCTGAGGTCTTCCAACTCACAATATGACTTATTTGATGTTATTGATGTTAAATACAAACATGTTGTTATGATGTAAATGGATAGCATGAAATGTAGTAAATGAACCTTCATTTACATTATGCTTTTGTGATGTTTTTCAATGATTCATTTTCTTAATCTCAGAATGCCTTGCTTTCATGTTTCTGAGATAAAAGTTGTTTGTATAATATCTGCTATATGATAGCTTACACTTGATCTACCAAGCGTGTACAGTTCTATAATGCTGTATAAGACACAAGTTTTCTGTGGCAATTTAATGCTATATTTTCAATTCATTAATGTGGATTAGTACATAATGGTGTAAAAAAGATGATTTGTTTGTTTCCAGCATCCCACTGATGTGGATTATAAAGTTATGAAGACATTTGCAGAGTTTTATACAACACTTCTTGGTTTTGTGAACTTCAAGTTATATAATTCTATCAACTTAAAGTATCCTCCAAAGGTAAGAATATATATCATATAAATTATCCCTGCCACCTTGGGGATGTAGAAATAGTAGTGGAATGGCAGGCAATTCTGTACATTCCACATTCTCTGTATTGTGGGATCAACACAGTGGTTTTATCTGTGGGACAAAATCGCTTTTAGAGATACCAGTAGCTGAACCTGCAATGCAGTCAGTGTTTATTCTAGGAATTGAAAAATAGGGGTGATTTTCCCCCCTCTATTTAAAAAAAAGGGGCGATTTTCAAAATCAAGGGGTGCCAAAATAAACTGCCAATGTTAAATCGTCTGCATTAAGGCGTTATTTATTTAAGGCAGCAGAAGTTGTCCCCCCTTAATTTTTAAACGAAAACAAATTATTACAGAACTGCCGCGATTGATTATAAAGGGATTGACAATACAAACAATCGACCTATCTTTCACGTCTAGATCGTAGCCAAGCTAGGAATTGCCTCGTTTTTCTTGATTATTTACTACACTAAAATGGCGCCCAACTGTCAGACCGAGCACACTAGTTCAGGTTGGTACGGAACATTCTGTTAATTTCCGTCAACTCACGTAACCAGTACCATACGGTACTAAATTACTATAATTAGCTTACAGTTAACTCCCTTCCGTTTCCGATGTAAATGTAAACAAAACAACCAAATATAATGCGGGATGGAAGTTTTACGATTTTATTAACTTTTTTATAGATGCGCGATTTTCACGCACATGATTTTGAATTGTGCGCGATCTGTGAAATACTAGCGTGAATCGCGCAATCGCGCGTCCTAGAATAGACACAGTGCAGTGGAATAAATTGGAATTTTGTTATCTAATTGAACCCTATAGGGTGAGGATCTTACCTGGGCTTTGCTGGTCCTAAAGTCAATATTCCAACTACTTTCCCAGATAATAGTAATTGCGGGGTTATAAATGATTGGTACATTAAACACAGTAAAGGATTGGAGAAATGTTTAATTGTGAGAAACACTTGGGTTAATTTAAGTAGTTTAAATTTACGATGTTCATATAATTTATGTACACACTTCTGTCAATTTATGAAATTCATTTTCTTTTCCAAATTAATTAATTTTTGCTTAATTATTAATTTGTAATAAAAATGTTTGACATGTGATCTGGCCATGTAGAAACAGTTGTTTGAAATAATATAACATTTGCCTTGTGACTTCGGTGATATAAGTCTACAACAGTTTATACTGTCAGAGTTATATAACCTGTCAGACATCTTGATTACTTATAACTTTATAATTTTAGGTGAAGAAGTTACATTTGATTTTTCCTTTTTTTATTTCATTGCCTGTTTAAATTAAAGAGTAAATCTTCATACATTTGAGAATGAAGTGCCCTTTACTTACAGAGTGAGTGCATACTTTAGAATAAGTTTAGTTGTTATGTAATGATTTATTCACTAGATATTCAGCCATTCAACAAATGCCATGAATTGTTGACCAGTATCAGTGATTGATTTATTGATGAATGTATTTTGTATGAGGTTGGTTGGTTGGTCAGCCAGTTGGTTGATCACACATTCATATATTAACATTTGTTTTCTTGTTTGGTTTCAGTTACTGCTGGACAGTGAAGAGGAGAAAGCTGGGGACCAGCCACAGAAATCTCTGGTCACACCAGAAAATACACAAAAGTCAAAGAAAAAAGGCAAACAAAATCCAAGACAAGAAGCAAAACTAAATAGATTTGTTGAGAAAGAAACTTTTGAAGAGGTATATACAGATCTTTCTAATTTTTAAAGACACCTCATAAATCCTATTAATTGGATAAAGTTATATGCTGTTCTTTCAACAGTTGTAAAACCAGGTGGTTAACTTGAAATTGTCAGTAATTTATTTTCTTATTTAACCAATAGCTTGCTGGATCCATGAAATGGATTTGGCTAGCTTTAGAGTTTGGAACAGCTCATTAAAAGTTAAAGGGATTTCAATTTCAAATAGAAATTGAGCAGTATAGTTTGGTAGTGAAAGCTAATTACTTTGTGTTTCAGCAGATTAATGTTTAAGTTTTGAAGCATTGTGTATTATATAAACCTTACTTATTTCAGAGATTATCAGCATTGACACAGTCATTAAAAACTATAGGATCTACAGTAGATGATGAGGTCCAATTAGATCATTTCCCATCCTCAGAGGTATTAATAATGCTATTTATTTATAGATATTCATTTAAATGTTTTTTTCCTTTGATTATAAATTTTAAAATTTTCTGGCTTGTCAAGGGTTAATTAAACAATGAAGTGCATCTTCGGTATTGGAGCACATTGTCTCCTGTGACAGTGCTTGTATGCTGAAATAATCGTCTTGTGCATGAGTCCATATTCAGGGTTCCTTGAAAATGCAAAATTGGCCTTGAAAAATCCTTGAAAAGTGCTTAAATTAAGACTAAATATTTTTGTTTGAACCCTGATACTGCTTAATGAAACAGCTTATTCATAGAATATACATTATATAAAATGAATGATATGGTCAATATAATACTGAAATATATTAATGAGATACAGTCAAGTAGTAGTGTAGAAAGCTCATTGATTGTTAGAGAAAGCAAAATAAAACTAATAAAGCTACTGAATATTTTCAAAAAGCCCTACCAGTTACTGTAGACACAATTTACCAATGGTATGAAAGGTAAATGTTTTTAACATTTTTAAGTCTTTATCAAATAATATAAAATGAAGATGTTTGTAGTTGAAATGCATCATTGTATATTTTGATCAAATATTATAGAAAATATTGCAGGACGAGGGTGGTACTATGGTACATATTTGTCAATGCTGCATTCCAATATACCAGAATCACCTTTATACATAAACGTTATCTTGAAAGGTGTGATATATCATAATGAACAAACACATTCTTGCTCATTTTCCTGATTGTAACTAAAATTTTGTATTCAATATTTATTCAATTAATATGAATACTAAGCAATAAGAGGTAAATTTCTTCAAGTTATATATGTCTTATCTAGACAGAGAATCCTGATGGTATAGAACAGGCCAAGTTAGAGATGGAAAAGATGACAAAGTTCCAGAATCTTTTCAAAGGCCTTAAATTTTTCCTGAATAGAGAAGTTCCACGGGAACCTCTTGTCTTTATAATCAGGTATGGTCATATGTTGATTTTCAATTTAAGTTCTTTAATCTGGTTGTTATTCAAGAAATACATTCAGTATTTCCTGTGAAAATAAGTGTATGAAATAAAGGGGGGAAAATGTTCTTTCTGAGTAGGTGGTCTTGGGATACAGCAGTGGTCAGACTAAGTAGATCCCAACTGGTTGCATGAGATGGTTATAGGTATTCATCATACAATTTATTGCAGCTTTGTAAAAAATGAGCATTTTATATATTTGACAAGTGTAGATTCTTGTTTGAGATAGGTGTAGAAGATAGAATACATTCAAGATATAATTGCAGGTCATTTGGGGGAGAAGTATCGTGGCATGAGAGTCAAGCTGTTGGCGCTACCTACCCTGAAACTGATGAAAAAATCACCCATCAGATAGTAGATAGACCATCAATGGAGACACAATTTCTGTCTAGGTTGGTACAAATGTTTACTGGTTATATTCTAATTATACCTACATTGTGTAGGAAGTGGTGCTTTTTGTTCTCCGAAACTTTCTCAAGAGTGTTCATAATTAACAGATTAGCGATCCATATCATCAGTTGAAAAATGTTAAAGTAGGTTGTATTTTCATGCCCACTAATCTGGTCTGGCGTGGCTTTAAACTTGTTTGCAGATGCTTGTAACTTTTGATGTTTGTGTTCAGGGAGCTTATGCATTAATTTTAATTACAGTATTATTTTGAATGTTGTAAATTAATTAGAACAAGGAAATAGTATGGTAGATCCTGACTTCTATAGAAGATATTTATGGGACTTATATTATGCTAGTTTTGTTTATTCTAACATGAATGTATGATGTAATGTTTACAGATATTATGTACAGCCTCAGTGGTTAATAGATTGTGTGAATGCTCAGATGTTACTACCACCAGAGGACTACTTTATAGGCGCAGTATTACCACCCCATTTATCACCATTTGTTAATGAGCAGGAAGGTGATTATGTTCCACCAGAGAAACAAACACTGCTCAACAGACAGAGAGGTATAGACTCTGGTATGTATGTATAATAAATAGGGAGGGAAAGAATGATTTTCTCAGCAATGTTCTTATCTTTATCAAATATTCTCATTTCGACTATATCTCAAAGAAATTGTTTTCTGTCACTTTGATTCTAACAAATACTTGATAATAAAATGTTTCGTTACTAGTACCAGTACTAGTACTTAAAGTTTTAAAAAGTTGTAAAAGAATTGTACTGTTTGTTTAAGATTATGTTATGAAAACATGATAACCAATGAACATAATGTAAATCTATGTTTTTATCTAGCTTTGACTATTATATTACCATTTTACTTTTAATTTAACAAATTTCCCAGCTTTATTTAAGGATATTTTATGCATTGCTACACATTGTATCACCTAACCTCATTATAATGCATTTATTCCATAAACCCTACCTGAAAAGTATTACCTATTTGCTTGCAGGAATAGATGAAGATTCTGAGAATGATGAGGAGTCTGAGAATGATGATGATGATGATGAGCAGTCTGGTGATGATGTGGAGGAGGGAAGTAGTGATGAAGATGATGAAAGTGATGATGATGATGAATCTGAAGATGACGAGGAGTCAGGTAACTAGTTGACATTAACTTATTCTGTGATATTTATTCTTGCATATCAGACTGGCGTTTCTGTTAGTTTTACCCATGCCGGAAATTTCATCTGGCATGGGGGGTTCCAGATGAGTCGTGTGCTGTACAATGGCACGATAAAGATGACGTCATTTTACCGTTATGAATGCTTTTGTAATTCATACGCTGTTGAATGAAAGTAGTTACGGTTGTAATAATATAAATTTTCATTGAAAATAAAGATAAGGAATTTAAAATATAATGGAATATGGTAGAATATGCAAGAAAAAATATCTGACAAATGTTTGCGGTTCGGATCGGAATATCCGTCCCTCGGTCACCCGCCCATGGGCGGGTAACCTCGGGACGGATATTCCGATCCGAACCGCAAAATATGACAGATATTATTATTCTTGTTAGCAAATGTTACGAGGAAATAATGGATATTCTTATTGATATTATGAGGAATTTACTCTATGGTTTTAAGTGACACTAAAAATAACCATGAAGTTGTCATCATTATAGCATTATAAGAAATCACAAAATGAAACTAGCAGACAAGTACTTATATGTTTTTAACACAGCCCAACTAGTCTGTTTTTAAAGCTGACCAGCTAAGGTAATGTATGAAGGGGCACCTGAAGTGTTCCTCTACCAGTTGAGCTGGAAAGGCTCTGTATGACCTGAACAGTGTTGTTTGGATTTAAAATTAAACAAACTGTTCATTGTAATGATCATCATGTTTTCTAGTATGTCTGCTTAAATAAAGTTCCATTATTAATTTGATTTGAACATCTAGTTGTTTATATTAAATGGTTTTATCATTCTGGTTGCAGATGAAGAAACAGTGAAGAGGAAAAGAACATATAAAGAAGAATCAACATCTCCAAAAAAGAAAAAGAAAAAGGTAAGTTGATGTACGGTAATAATACACAGTGTATATAGAGCCTAGTTACTGCTTTTAACAGTTACCCTGGAAGTAGATATTTTAGGCAGACTAAGATTCTTTTAATTCAGTGACAAGTTTGAATTACGTAACCTATTGTCTTATGGAATAACCCTAGTTATCAAGTTTGAATATTTAACTTGAACTAATTTGAAAGAGTACATTGTATCTAAAAAAAATTTAGATTTCCAATAAATGTTTTTCTTGTACATAAATATAGATCCACTCAAGGAAAACACTCTTTTTTTGTGTACCTTTTAAGATAAATAACTATGAGTTATATACTTAGATGTTAATATAATGTCCATATGGAAAGATGAACAGGTCCATATTGGATATTTAGCATGGAAAGGTTTGATATTTTAAGTCTTGTAAACAACTGGAATTTCCAAATTCAAAGTAAGACAAGTTTATTATTACCAGTGCTTTGATAATAAAAAACAAGAAAATTGCTGGACAAAAATATCACAATAAAATATTAACCTTTTAACTTCCTAAATAATTTCAGGATGGAAAATACTGTAGCATATTTTCTAGATATTTTTCTGTTCTATAATAATTACAGGATCAGAACACCAGTACTATGTCGGTGGAGGCCGGGACTATTGAAGAGGAAGACGTAGATAAACGGTTACAACAGCAGACGGCGGAGGAACGGAGGTTAGCAGAGATGATGATACCTAAGAAAAAGAAAAGATTGTACAAAAAAATCATGTATACTAAGAAAAAGAAGACACAAGAGGTAGGCTTAATAGTTAAATAACTTGAGTGATTATTATGGGTGTGGGGGGGGCTTTTGTGACAATGTGGTTAAAGTCACCAACTACTGAAGAAGGTTTAGCTAAGAGTTTTCATCCTACCATGGGTGTTGAACCCTTTCATATGAGACAGCTGGAAGCTGTTTAGCTAGCTTATGAAAGGTTGGTGGTTCTAACCCTTCTCTCATAGACCCGAGATAATGCTTAGAGGGGTATCTACAGGTCGCCATCAACCAGTAATGTCATATTACTGAAACACCTAGATAACCCAAGATTATTTTACATCATAAGTAAATTCAAGGACTTTTTTTCAACAAATATGGTAGATTTTGCCAAGTAAAAATACCTATTTATTCTATGTCATTTTTTACTGGGTAAAATCTATTTGGCAGCATGGCCCTGATTAGGGCTATTCCGTACTAGATAGCCTGTTAATTTTGTTTTTAGCCTTAATACATGTACATGTTCACATGACTTGTCTGCATTTAGGAAAATGGTAGTGAAACATGGAAAGTTGTGTTCTCCTGAAGTTTTAGTAGTATGTATATTGGTCTTATTATTTTGATTCAGCATTAAAAAGATTTGAGATTTTATTTTCAGGCATTAAAGTTGAAACAGAAGAGGCATGCAATAGACAAACAACAAAAATTGGAAAAGAAGAAACAGAAAGTCTGAACAAAAAGCATGTACAATGTGGATTTTGCAAACATTTAATCTGGAAAACCAATGATGAAATCAATGTCTTTAAGTTAGAAAACAATGAAATTACCTATTTAATCTTTGAAATAATTATGAAAATTCGAAAGTGGTCACGAGTGGTCATTACTACCAGTACCAGTAAAATACAGCAATAAACTTCACTTTTAAGTGTTTATATTGAAACTGTTTAGTTTTGAAATTTTTGTGATCAGCAGTGATAGGAAGTTATTTAAGTTATGAAATGTTTCCGTGCTGTCGATTTCAATCATTGGCATAAATGATAAAAAGTTTATTTACAGTAGACTTGCATTGTGCTCAGTATATTAGAAACTATTTGTTTCTTGTCCTAAATTCGGTCAAGGGCATAAAGATTTATTGAGTCATTGTATTTTACGGTGGTGTAAAATCTGGGTAGACAGGCTTTAGTGGCATCAGTTATTAGTAAATGTAAAATGTTTCTGGATGGTGTGTTGGTGGCTAATGAATACAATTAAGATTTTACTGTTCAAGATATTGTTCTGTATATATACTTTAACATTTGTTAAACGATAAATCTATCTTGAATTATTAAATGATTTTATGAAATAGTAACTTTGTTGTCCTTTAGAAAATTTGACCTGCACTTGATACACTCACAAAATTTAGTAACGAAGTTCCATTATTGTTAAAAAAAAATTAGAATTGACCACTAAATGATTTCAGTATCAAAACATAGAAGTTAGTACTATTACCTGTAAACAGTCAAGTCATTCAAGCTTTTTTCTTCTTGTGTAGTTAACTATAAACTTTGGTTTAATTTTACTGCATTTACTATTCATGATTTAAGAAATAAACTGTACCAATTATGCAGTAAGACCAGCATGTAAGCCCTTTATCAAGGACTTGAATTATACCCAGAAAGCCTGGTTGTCCACAGGTAACATCTAGAGTTTAAGAATTATAATAGCAATGAATTTGGAGAAAGTCTTTACTTGGGGGGGGGGGTACATCTTAAACTTCCTACAAACAGCTCTCGAGGTGGCAACAATAAATATCCTTGCTGATGGAATCTGGAGGGGAATATTGTTTTGACATCTACTTTCCATCTGAATTTCATAACCGTTCTTTTCTACAGGCAGAATTTCAATAAAACAGAACATTGAATACCAAAAGGAGATGTGTAGTATATCATTTGCATGTCTAAAGCCCTGAATAGTTTATGCAGTATTTATACAAGAGTAAAATTCATTTTGCAAATGTTGACTGGACTTTAATGTAAGCTGTGGTATTGTGAAACATTTGTTTTCATGCTATTTCCAGTGTAAGAAATTAGGATTTGAATCAACTAGGCTGGTCGGACAACATGATTGGAATATTCACTAGCCCTAATAACATTTCACTAGCACAATTCATTTGTTCAAAATAGTTGTTTAATTTGCCTCTGAAAATACAGTAGCCTGGTCGGCTTATTACTGTGAAAAGTTGGTAGCCCGAGGAGAAATTAAGTAGTCCGGCTATCGGACTACTGCTAATTTGGAACACTGCTATTTCTCAGCTACTCGGGATTTCAATGAAACTTTTGCAGCCATAATAACACAAGGATATGCACTTATCATTGGCATGTCTGCATTACACCATTATACAGTCCTGGCTCATGAATTGGTTTAAATCATTGTACTTGGCTAAATTTTTGCTACCAGTTACATTGTTATAAATCAATACTTGGACATAACACCTCCAGTTGAATCTTGACATGACCAATTACTAAAGTTTACTTAAAATTAGCTGAAACTTTTTCAGGATGTTCTAACAAAAATCTGTCATTTAAGGCCAATTTTGCATTTTCAAGGACAAGTCTAGCAATAAATATTCTGCAAAAAATTAAGATTTCTATCTTAAAGCAGCTTTGTACACTTCAAGCACAATATCACAGTCATTACCCTGCATTTTCCTAGTGGGTGTTTCCCCATTTCATTGCTTCTATATGCACTGTCACTTTCTCCAATACAATCTGCATAAAAAAAAAGAGGGCCCCTAAATCAAGCACTTTTAATGACCGCTCAATTCAATTACTTTTCAATTTTACTTGGACAAGGTTCGACAAATGAGATAATTTACCTTGAAATGACCTCGCTCCTTGGTCAAATTTTGAATTTGGATAGCCATAACTTTGTTATCAATAACCAGATCCGATTTATTCTTGTACAAAGCATTAAGAGAAAAACCAACTTGTGTACACTTGATGTGGTCACTAAGGCAGGGGATATCAATTCAACAATTTGCTTCTGTTGAATACTTTGTGTATGGATAATGTAAAACTGAGATACAAGAACTAGTTTTTTCTCTTTATTTAGCTCGTATTGACAAAACATTTAGAACAGCATTTTGTGTGGGTACTGTTTGCTGCCTAACGAGAACATAGCTCCAAGATATCCAAATAAATATTTCTTATCAGCGTTTTTTCTGATGGCCTCAAGGACCTGTTTGTCTACGACTTTCTGGTCCTCTTTTCTCTCATCACTGACAGAGTACTCCTGAAAATTACACAAAACATTTGATGTTTGTACAAATTTCGATGATATTGAAATTCAAAATAAAAGAAAGAAAAACGAGTGGACTTAAATCTGCAACTAATGAAGATAATGGTCAAATGTCACCTAAAGCAGTCTTTCGCAACAAAAAGAAATATTGCTATTAATTTATAAATCTGTTTTTGTCAATTGTGTATGTAATGTACTTCTATTTATAGAAATTCTTCCATTGTGGCTGAAAGGTTGCCTTTAAGGGATCTATATAATTGCAGTAACCGGTTATCCTGTTGTGATTGTAAAAGGCAACTAAATGGGTTCGAATTACTGAGTCTATGCATCTCCATGCACCAGTAGGTGAGGTGATTTGACTCCTCGTGTTGCTTGAAGTTCACAACACCCAAGGTTAGTCAAAATCAACTTTACTTATTTTGGTGCCATATGACTGCGTTGGTATGCTATAAAACCAAACATTTAGCAAACAGAAATCCTCTTAGAGAAACCCCATTTAAAGCCACTATAAGCTTTTAGAGAAAATAACGTCTCGGTAATACAAAGGCTCAATTTATGTAAATTATATATTACCTCTTTCTTTGTATCAAAGATTTCGCCTTCAGCATGTTTGGGTTTTCTCAACTGCTTACGACGGAAATATTCATCATTGACACGATCTGGAACCTTGATGTCTTTAATGTCAATTTTTGTTTTTGTGGCGATCACATACATCTGGTTAATTCTCCTCAATGGACAAGCATTCAGGTGGAATGGACCTGGAAATTAGGAAAAGCAAAAAAATCTTATGAAAAAAAAACACTCAGTAATCAGGGTTCCCACTCTTAGATATTTTGAAAATTTAAGGACTTTTCCAGGACTTATCAAGGACCTTTTTTGATTTTTTAAGGACTTTTTAGAACATAAAATTTCAAGCTACATGTATTTGATTTTTTGTCCTATGAATATGTTCATGGTAATGTTTAGAACAACATTTAATAACACCAATATAATACATGTAGTTCATGACATAAATCTAATTCTTTCTAAGAAATACATTCAGTGTCTATAAATAATGAAATGTACTTTGTGACAGCAACTGTTTTTGCAGGTTGTCTGTCAATTTTCATGTAATTTTGCTGTTTTTAATGCTTCCAAGGGATCACTTTTATACCAGATATTCATAGTAACTTTAATTAGTAACCTCACATTTGACCTCAGTCCACTAAGGCTTCATAGAATGGAAAATCTATGTCACACTGAAGGGTATATGAAAACTGCCAGCAGGTGTTTCTACATTCAAAATTTCACGACTTTCATGTTAAAAAAATATTGGTATTCTGCTTAAGCAGTGCTACGGGGTGCACTTCCAGTACCATAATCAAGCCTAGTCTACAAACATTTTCAATTTTGCCATTTTTGGATGTTATTTAGGGATTCTTTTTTGTATTTCAATGACATATCTTTGATTTGATCTTACAATTTTTTAAAACCATCTACCAAATATGGCGGCAGCATGAATACCCAAATATACCCAAACACACTAAATTATAGCAATGTTCATTTTGGTTTGTATACAATGTTGATTTTAATGAGAAAATGAATTGATATTTACAAAATAATATGACTTAGCCAACTATAACTTTCGATCATTCCATTGAAATTGGCAGTTCAGATGTTGTAAAAAAAAAAAGAGTGACATTTGCTTATCTAACTGGTTAGGGTTCATTAATGAATAGGCCAAATGTACTTGCAAGATATGATAATATTTGTTGTTTACATTTAAATTTGTAGGGTATAAATTTTGTTGAAATTTCATACAAGTTCATTCGATTATTTTTTTTAATTTAATAGCTTTAATTGGAGTATACTGTATTTGGGTATATTTGGTTCAAAAATGTATATTTGGGTATGTTTCATTACATCTTAGTGAAAGTGTATATTGTATTCATGATTAAAACAGCACTTTTTTTTAGTAAAACACATTTATTTTAGTATATTTTTGTTATATTTGGGTATTTGTGCTACCCAGATATGTGTGGCCAATTGGCTGTGCTCTGCCTTGACAATAGTTCATGCATGTAATTACTATTTTTTTTATTTTATAATTGATTTACCTTTGGCTTTTAGCATGGTAGTGAGCAATTAGGATACAAAAATTGGGTAAATTTGCCAAAGGAAACAACCAGGCCAATCAAGCAAACTTGAGGTTTGATTTGTGACTGTCCTTCCTAGATTTTCCAAACAAAACCGCCATAGTAACCAGTAAATAAATGATAAATCTCATAAATGTCAAACTTGGCCTCCCAAAACAGTTGTAAATCGAAAATCATCAACATTCAAGATGCGGAAGTCAATATACTGTGCAAAGACCGCCATTTTGGTTTTTTGATTTACCTCCCCTTTTCCAGACTAATTCCCGTACCTTCCCGGACTTTTTTATGTATCAACACTAATTCCCGGACTTTTCAAGGCCGGGAGCTCCTGTGTTCAAATTCACGGACATTTCCCGTTTTCCCGGACAGCGTGGGAACCCTGAGTAATGAACAATGAATATAAGTTTTTAACATTCAAAATGAGTAATTATTAACATTTATGTGAGGAACAATATTTTTTGTAAACCAATTTGCTATCACTTTATCAGTATATCTGCTAAATGCAGTTATACAAAATCAAATCATTTTTTCCAACATATTCATGTTTTTAGTCAGTTACTGTTAATGATGCTTAATACTATCAATGTAATTATCTACTATATTGCAGGCCCTTTCATTATTTATCAAATAAAAACTTTCTAGTCATGCTCATTAAAGAATCCATAGTTTAAACCTATGAATATTTTCAGTTGGGCAAGTGATATTAATTATCAAGCCAAGGAGATAATCATGAACTGGCTCATTTTAGAGAAGATTGCCTACAATATAAAATTACTATAATATACCTGTTACAAGAAGTAGTCCAGAGTTCAACTGCTTCAAGAAGACTACACGCTGCAAAGGACAGAAAAGCGTTAGAATTTATTGTTAATAAAGTAACAATATTAACATGTAATAAGCTTATTTTGTTAGAAGCAAATGTTCATATTCAAAATCTATTACAAAATAGTAAATTATGGTAACATTTAATGTTTATAACCAAAATGAAGTCTTTGCAAGTGGCATGTTTCATCAAATAATAAAGGTAATATCTTATCGAATGTTGGTCAAGTTTAGAAACTGACAGAAACTGACAAATAAGACAGTGAAAACAAAATTAAACTGTTCAATTATTTAATATGAAATCATGTTGTTCAATTATTTTACCCATTACCAGATATACACGCATTTTTCACCCCCCCCCCCTTTTTTGTTGTCTCAAATGGTGAAAAAATGCTTTATTCAGGCCCCCAAAACTTGTTTTTGTTTGAGAAATGTTCTCTAAAAAAGCGCCACCCTATATCCAAAAGATGCATTTGGGAGTTGCCAAGGGGGATGTTGAAGAGGGGTGGTAGTCCCCCTCATTGCCAAGACAATTTTGGACTTGTGAGAGGCTAAAAATGACCCAATGTTGATCATAAGGTAGCGTGTAACCAACGCTGAAAAGCATTTGACTATCTCATTTCATTGAGAAGTTGCAGCACTTTCAAATCAATTTTAATATTTTGATGGAAAAAATCAACGTAAAATAGTGATTTTTTGCAATTTTGAGATGTCCCCTCATTGCCATGGTACAGGAAATTTAAGACTGAGCATGTTGTTACAAAGGCAATGGTCTAGTCAACATTTGTGCCAAGTTTGATTAGTATTGAAGCAGTTTTTATAGTTTTTTAGCAACATGAACTTGTAACGGGAGACTTTTCAATGAAAACAGCCATTTTTCACAAAATGCTCCTGCGGTAATGGGTTAATATGAAATTTAATTGATTGAAACCTTCAATATCCTAGACTTCAGTGAATAATATATTTTTTTACACTGCTTACTTCATAATAGGAATTAAATGCAGAAAGTAAAGTCTCAAGATACATGTATATACAGAATTACACCCTCTATTATATTTTAAATACAACAATTAAATTATTATGGTCCTGTCAGGTAACAATAAGGCCTAAGCTACAAATATGACAATGTCCTTTTTATGTCTTCAATTCCATACCCCATTTCTCCAATAATATCAACATTAATAATTTAATACCTTTCCCTTGTGCCTGCCAGCAACCAAGATGAGGATGGTTCCAGGTGTGATTGTTGACCTCAGCTTTGACTTGTGCTGTGAGAAAGCCTTCTTTCTATTATACAACTTCCTAGGCCTGTCTTCAGTGGGATAGTATCGCGGCTAGAATAAATAATAATATCATAGATACATCATGGAACCTGATATTTTCAAAGTCTAATGAAATAAAAACTATGTGGTAAAATAATCTTATAATTATATATTGACAAGATGACAGAACCCCTTTTCAATCTATACAGAATTAGCATGGTGGTTTTTGTTTGTTTGATTGGGTTTTACGTTACATTGACACAGTATAGGCAGAGATCTGCCGAGGACGCGATTTTGCGCCATTGGCGCTAAAAAAATGAGAATGGCGCAGGAAAATCGGCAGCAAAGGGCCATGGGTGCATCTAAATTCTGTGCCAGACTTATAAGAAAACAAAACTGTCTGCTGGGTTATTTAGTCATCCAGTCAAAACTGGTACCAACAGCAACATGTTACCCATGCTCCTGTAATTTAATACGCATATTCTTGAGTTTATCCATTCCCCTATAGCTTTTGTCCATGTTATTTACTTACCGCATTTCTTCTCATAATCCCTTTCCCACATAGATACTCATTTCTACTACCGTAAATTTAATCCAATAAAACAAACAAACAAGTTATACAACTACCTAATATTTAAAATGATTATCGGTAACTGAAAAAAAAAGTGTTGCTATTTTAAGAAATGCTGTAAGTTACAGTATAATCTGACAGGTGTTCAACTTGATCAACCCTAAGGTCACTCAAGTTCATGCAAATTTTGGCTGATGAAGTGTAAAAAAAAGATGTATATTTCGTCATCAGAATATTTGACAGCGTGATTAACGAATCAGAGAAACATTGTGCATGACTTTTTTCATGATCAAAAGGTCTGTCGGCAAATGTCTTTGATGTATGCTGTCTACACAGAGGCATACAAGGGGCAATAAAATTCGTCAATATACAGTGGTAAGGGACATTTGGTGCAAAGTAGGAACAATTAAATGGATAATGCACAATATAAGACATTACAAGTAAGAACCAGCAATTATGTGAATAAATTTGCATATCAAATTTTTGAGCAGCCATTTAAAAAATATTTTGCCTGCAATTAATATTAGTTAGAAAGTTACCATGTAGGCATAATTTTTAATTATTGGTTAAGTACTGAATTATAAGTGAACCACTTGTCATAAAATATGATTTAAGTTTTATTACCAGGGAAATTCAATTATCTACAAACTTTTTAACAGTTATTTTGGTCAATGTTTACTTATTTTCCCAAGGCCCATACTTTGGTAAAAATGGCCCATCATTTTCAGACCAAGTGGGCCCAGGGCCCAGTACTTTCAAATTCTTGGCAGATCTCTGGTATAGGTCATATTGTGACATTCCAGCTTTACTGGTGGAGAAAGACATCAGGTGCCCCTCCGTGCATTATTTCAGGCACGAATGGGCAACTGAGTAGAACCACCGACATTCCGGAAGCTAGCTGGATAGCTTCCTCACATGAAATAATCCAAGTCCCTGTCGGGATTCGAACCCACAAAGGTGAGGGGCAAATGGTTTGAAGTCAACGACCTTAACCATTCGGCCATGGGCGCCCCTAGCATAATGGTACTACAAGAAAAGCATTGATGCAAAGCATCAAAGGGCGTCCAAGCAAGATATGCAGCAGGTGCAGATGAAAAAGTAGATATATAATGACAAGATATTCTTATAAACTGTTCAATGGCTCATTGGTTTTTACCAGAATTGTATATCACTTATGAATGAACGAACGAAAGACATTGTTCATTATTTATAACTTTGATTGGCATGCTAGAAATTAGAATACTACTTGCTATTTCTTTATGATCGTGGTTATTAATAGCAACGGATATACATGTATACAATCATTTATAATCCATATGAGTAACGCATGATCAACACCACACTTGTGTAATTGTCCCTTATTATGTTATCGCTATTAGCGAAGACCCCCTTTTAAGCTCTCTGTTCACACTTAGTAACAATATGACACTTGTTATATTACCATGTTGAGCATAAATGTTTATTATACACTAATTGTAATATCTTTTTTAATAAAAAATACAGATTTTATGAATATTGTTTTCTTTTCTTTTTTTGTGTTTTATGCACTGCTTTAATACTGAGTTTTTACGTTTACTACTATTTTAAGAATTCAATTGTCATAATGACCGACGATTATAAGTCAAAACTCAACAGGAAAAAGTCAGTAAATTATGGTTAAACTTTCAATATATAATATTGTTTATTCTTAAACCATATACATGTATATACATTTGTATTTTTCTTTATCATTTTTTAAATTATCAATCAATTGAATAATTCATAAAATCTGATTTGTAACTTTGAATAATTCCTCGGCATCTTTACTAAACACGAATAACAAATTAAATAAAATGTTTCAAAGTTGATAGTGTCATATTAATGCCATAAAAATGTACATTTTTTCTCAATTATTGTACATATTTATCTCATATAGATAAAATAAAACATGCGATTTGTGTGATTGTTTTTCTTTTCAAATTGTATGTTTATGTATAATAATAATCAATAAATTGGAGAGTTGATCTATTTTTATTAATTATTGTAACCAAACTAAGTGACAAACATTCATTTTGAAAAAAAGCTTATTTATCTGTAAAATATTTGTTCTGTTCTTTAACGATATCAAACATCGACTCCAAAACCGGAAGAGACCGGACAATAAACGTGTGGTACTATTCGCCGGTCGTCAAAATAGACCAGGAGAGACCGGGAATTACCGACAAGAGTACATCCCTCTATAAATAGATTTTCGGAATATTTAGGTCATCAACTCAACATTCTATTTACAGCTTTCGGAATAACATACCATAATAACCCACTGTGTACTACAAAATGATAAATAAAAATACCCCGAAGAGCGCGATTTATTGACGGAAAAGGTTAATTAATTTGAAAATGTTTGCATTGCGAAATTCTCCAGTTCGCTATTCATTGTAATTAATAATCAAGCACCCTCATACCGATCGGAATGATCGGCTTTTATTATCAACAACTATAAAGGCTCGAGAAGATGCTGTCGCCCTTTCACAAAATCTGATTTCATTACATAAGGGCGCCGCGCTTCGGCGCGGACGCCAATAATGCTTACATCACCATCTCATTAACAAAATTCTTCAATGAAGTGTATTTACTTCAATGATGATGCTTACTATTACAGTATTTTAATAAATTCCGATATTTTCTTTATAAAGAAAAAATAAGTCTTAGTCTTACTGTTCAAACAAAGCTTACCAAGCGTTTAGCTCTAACTGTCCTTTCACCACCATTTTTGTCACCACCAATTTTCTTGGTGACCATACGAGCCGCAGCTTTTGGTTTATCACCTGCTTTAGGGGCCATTCTGAAATAAAGACATTTTGGATATTAAGGAACATGGTCATAACTTTTTTAATTTCAACAGTTCTGAAAGCTGAAATGAAGACCTTCACAACTCAACTGTCATAAAATAACATTATAAACATTCAAAACCAGCTGGGGTAACTACATATACAACAGACTAATTCGTGTTTGTAGTATAGAACTGTCTGTAAAAAAAATATATATAAAGGGGTCTATTTCAGGAGACTGCATGCCAATAGGTTAATTTTATCAACCATGGGCAATGTTTACGAATTTTCAGTGGTGACAGTACAGATTTTACAGTGCAGAATGGGATCTGTATATTAACAACCGGTTTTACCGTGTTCATCTCTTGTATTTCATCTATATATACGCGTAAGAATGAAAGTTACACTGATCAGAAGCTGGTTTAGTATTAAAATAATCATGCTTTTTTGAAGAGCTTTAAGTGCAACAAAAAGCTATTTTTCGCTAGATATATCAAATATATAATACATCAGAATCAATTCAACGCATAACTTATTCAATTTCAATTCATTTGGTCTTAAAATCATATGAAGATGGAACCTTTAATATCGGATAATGACGGATTTTTTTAGTATGTCTTCGGAAACCATTTACTTACTTTGCCCAGTATGGAGTAAGAGGCACAAAAAGTCGTGACGTTTTACGACATCCGGTGAGAAAATGCGTTAGAGTTATGCCCCTTTGTTTACATTAATTCATGCTGACAGTTTATTATTTTCTAATATTTTGTATCCAATTTACATGACATATACATAGGCGTACAAAATTGGCGTTATACTTGTTGTGTTTTAGACTGTTTTGTTTTATGTTTGACTAACAATTTGATGGATGACAGTTTAAAAACAGATGATGTAATAGTGTGTAAATTTCCATTGGCAGTGAGTGAAAGAATTTATGTCCATTATTTCACAACAATATGACATAATTTATATTATAAATATTTACACGTTGGTTAACATTTATTTTGTTATATAGACTTGAACAAAAAAACTGGTTAGTAACGATTTAGATTTCATAAGTATTTTACTCAATTAATATTGTTTTACAATTCTATAGGCAGACTCTTGATTTAACTGTGGTTCCTGTAATGAAGAAGGGATAAATTATCAGTTGACAATGCCACATACAAATAATTTTCACCAGAAAGATGGGGGCGATAAAGAAGATAAGTATGCAGGACGTCTCAGTAAACGGTTGTGTTATATCCTAAGATATGGTGCAATAAAAGAAGGACTGACTGTTCATAAAGAAGGTTTGTCTTTATTTTTATTTTAGTGTGTTATTCCTTAAATCTGGTACAAGTAAATAATTTTGGTTAGACATTGAAGTGTCCATTTAGGAATTTCTTTGGAGAAATATACATGGTCATGGCTCAGATATGTATACTATTTAGGGGACAAGATGTGTATAAGAGACTGGATATTTCTGTTGTTACAGCTGCGGAATGGTATCAGTCTGGCTGCACATTTTTCTCACCTTGTAACATGATGCAGTTAATTGAATTTTAGGGGTAAAGTACATGACTTTAGAGAAAAAAAATTTTGTTATAGAAGAAAAAAATCCCTGAAGTCAGACTCGATCCATATAATCATATCACTGATTTTATGTGACACAAATTATTTTTATTTTTATTTTATTCGCCAATTATTGATCAAGAATATCCAGTTGTAAATTTGAACAAATAGTTATAACAATTTAGTTTTACATTTTACAGTGAGTGGCAATTCCGGGTCAGATACATGTACTTCCAGAAAAAGTTTAATTATTATAATTTGAATAAAAGAGTTGTTTTCATTTTAAGAAAAAGAAATTACAGATTTGTTTTTGAATAGGTATAATTTTATATAATTTGTAAATGAGTCAATTAAAATTTATTGTTGATAATTGGTATTTGCAGGTTTTGTGGATGTGAATGAAGTATTGGAAATGAACATGATGCGACATCACACTTTAGAGGAAGTTCTGCAGGAAGTTGACACTTCACTTAGTCACAGACATACAAAAAGATTCGAAAGCAAAACATTCAATGGAAAGACACTCATAAGGGCTCTGTTCTGTCGAAACTTTGAACCAGTAAGTTGGATTTTTATTTTTAAAGCATATAGATATTTATAATAATTTCTGGAAACAGCTGAAACACAGAAGTCTACAGCAGCATTTTACCATTAAAGAATTTAAGGTCTTTTATTTTAATATGGAGGAAAATGTAGTTGTAAGATTTTAATGAGAGTTTTATTTTAAATATATTTGTATACAAATGGAATTCACTAAATGTCACTATAATTATAAGATTTATATTAGTGGCTCTTGAAGTATCAGTTACTGAACTGAAAGAAGGTCTCTTTTAAGTTGCAGTTTTATGTTTTATTTTGTGATACACATATACATAGTATATATAAAACATTACTTAAGATGCCGAAAAATCAGAAGATTTTCTTATGACTGTTATTTTAATGTGATCCAAAACTGACGTGATTGTAAAATCATAGTTTTGCAATTTCTTCTCTGATACCTGTAAGATTTTTACATATACTTGGCATGTTCTTGTTCACAGAGTCCGTACCATGAAGGAACAAGTGTTAAAACATTTCAACAGATCTGTATAGATTATATACTTGATAATCTAGATGATTATGATCTTGAGGACTTTCCAGATGAACACATAATCAGGTATGTTTTGAATACAGTATATACTTAAATACAAGGTTTCCTGTTATCCTTATTCTGAGTTCCCTCCCCTTACACTGCATTACCAAAAGCATTAGTGCAAAGAAGGTCTTTCAACTAAGCATTGTAAGACGCTGGTGTAAAGGGAAGGAACCCAGGCTATGCTATTTGCAATCTCCACACAGTGATCTCCCCTTAATTACAATTCTACCAAGGGAGGTAATCACTTTGAGGAGTTTGTGCTATTTGATGTTAAATGCTGTCAGGGGAGATAATTATGTGATTTACTTGAGCCTTGACAAGGCTTTATAATTTTATACTATTTGATATTCAACATCATACATACAAGCCTGACAAAAAAACACTTGTTATGCTAATGTTCCTTTTTGGCAGGATACTTTTTTGGTAATTTTGTTTCTTGATTCCTATCAGCCTTATTACTATTTATATGATATTACTTACCATAGGGTTTAGTGGTAGAGTGTTCTGCTACAAGAGTGATTCAGGATGTGACCACAAGCCATAATGTAGAATGACACTTACCATTGTTCAGAGATGTAACAATTACTTTGATTCCCTCCCTTCTTCAAAGATGTGACAAATACTGCAATTCTCTCCCTTGTTCTAAATTGCAACAGATACTGTGCACTCCCTTGTTATGTTTCCAGTAATTTGATTCTGTCCCCTGTTCACAGATGTATTAAATAGTATGATTATCTCCCTTGTTCAGAGATTTATCATTCTGTGATTCTCTCCCTTGTTTAAACATTTAACAACAGTGTGATCAGAGATACAAGTGATCTCTCATACATTAAGTCTAATGGTCATTTGTCTCTAACCGCTGGTTCAGAAATCACCTGGAACTAGTATTTTGTCACTTGAGGAGAAATTTGTTATTACTGGTAAGATATCCAGAAAAGCCCGTTTGATGGATCAACTGGCAGGATATAACATAAAATGTGTAACAATCATAGTGAAACATATGAAAACTAACACATTTTGTGATACATGTACATACAGGGCTGTATGCTAGAAGTGAACATTTAACAATTCAAAATTGAATATAATATATGTATATGACATTATTTTAGCCACAATTCATTATTTTAGAAATACATGTACCTGTTACCTATATGAACCTATGGCCAAGATCATTAAATTTTGCTGTTAACGCAATACATAAGATGTTTTGTACAATGATATTTGTAAATAATTTCTCTACCTGCAGTACAATGATATCCCAGCTGAAGAGAAAAAAGAAATTGAATGTGAAAGTGTTACGTCAACTTTTAGTGCCTGTGTTAGAACATTTGGACCTAGACAGTGTATATCTTACACAAACTATACTGAAAACAATGTGGACAAACTGCCCAAATCTGAGAGTATTGAGTCTGAAAGATTGTGGATATATTGTTACAGATAGTGTTGTAGAAACTATACTCAGGGTAAAGTTTTGCTATGTACATATCTCATACATTAGTAGATTTCAATCTTTTGTTTAAATATATTTATTATAAATTGATTATGATAAAAGCTTGAAGCTTCACATACATTAGTAGATTTCCATCTTTTGTTATACTAGTGTTATATGAAGAATCATTATAATGACCCGTGTAGGGCTCGAACCATAGCTGGATTGAAAGTATTAGGTTGCCTATCTCTAACTCTTTTATAAATCCAGCTATCATAAATACATGAAGTGAATAAATTATGATTCTAGGCCATCATTTTCAGCAGGACCAAAATCTGTGGAAAATAAAATTGACCTAAGGCTAGATGATAGTGTTTATTTATATTAACCTGATTCAGTCAGAGGACATTTTTTTATACAAAATTTCAAAATTTGAGCATAAATCATTGCAAAGGTGGAAACAATCATTGAAGTATATCTGAAACTGCTGAAGATTTCTAAAGTAATAACATTTTCATGCCAATATTCCATGTTCAATATACATGACTTATGTTAACACTGGTTTTTGTTCTCATATTTTCAGAAATTGACCAAATTAGAGGCACTGAATTTGGCTGCATGTAAACATTTAACAGATAAATCGGTGAAAGCTATGTGCCAGTTTGGTAAAAATCTACAGCAACTTAACTTAAGCTGGATTAAAACTATATCTAACGGTGCAATACTAGACCTTGTAGTGAATTTAGAGAATCTCAGACACTTGGACATATATGATATGCAATTAACTGGAGAAATAAGGGAGTTAGTGATCGAAGGGGCAAGACAAAGGGAGATAAAAATTGTATTAAAGGGTCTTCAAGAGTCAGACCCAGATGTTACAATTGAAAACCCTTCTATGATGTTACCAAACTTTGGGAAAACCTGGTAGATGTTCACATAAACATTGTAGTTTTATTCCAGTATTACCTCAAAGTTTTTTTAAATGAGCCAGATGTTATTGTGTATACATGAATGTGAACGGTAATGGATGAAAGAAATAATATTGCTACTTATTTTTTTAAAAATATGTATATAAATAATAACTATATAAATTCCAAATAATAACTATATTTATTCCGTTATTTTTAACTTACAATGTACTAAAATTTATTGCTTTTGTTGTGTTAGAGATATATTTTTTGTCCTTTTTTATATACATGTACATGTGATATTGATGATGCATATCATTTTGTATGCTACAATAAAATATAAAAACAAGCAAAGAGATTTTTTTTTCTATTACATTGCATATTATATGTTATACAACAAAATCACATTACTTGCAATTAATTTTCGAAACTGAACTCAACTAGAGTTACTTCCCTTTGACCAGGATATTATCTACAACAGCTGTACGATTTTGAATGCAAGATTCTTATTTCATTTAGCCGTTTTCAATAAGAGTTAAATGACTTAAAATGTAGCGTAGATCAGTGAATTAGAAAGCCATGTATTTAAATATCTTTAATTGTATAAATATAAACATAATTATATATAATCATGGTTTTAATTTAATATGTAATTATAATTAATTACATATTTAATTAAAGTCGTGATATCGTAGAATGTTAATTTACACTGGCTGATTTCTACTATGTAATTTGTACCAATTATGCACTGCACGTCACATCGCTCCAGAATGACCAGTTACAAGGCGCCAACAGGATCCATGTAAGAAATTCACAATTCTTGTCATTTAGGCCTGCCAAATGATGCCAGCCAACTCAATAGAGTTGACGCAGTAGGCTATTGTTAACTGTCTAACTGTCCAGATTCTATCTAAGATTACTGTCAAAATCTCAAAGTGTTTGACTTGTGCCATAAAACGTCCCCTAAGAGGTCCCTAAAACATTTGTATGTTAAAAGTGCTATAACACATGATAAAGGAACAGTACATGTATTTATTATCTTAAACAGGGAATCTTAAACAAACAAAAAAGAAATAAAATGAATGACACCCCCCTGCAGGAGACACTAATATGCGACGCCTTTCTTAGTTCAAACATAGACATGTTCATATACTGTCCGTCATCATGTGTTATAGCTTTACGAACTTGCGCGCTGTTATAGCGTTAGATCAAATAGCCTACATTTGCGCTGTTCCAGACGTGATGTTACTTCTTGCGCATTAAGCCTACGAACCTCGTTTTTATTTGTTGAAGGGCAGGGGTATTGACATCTATTATTTGTCCGGCGACTTGCGCCTTTGCGTTGAACACTAAATTGCCAACACTGTAAATAATAGCAATACAACAAAAATAATGCAACATTTATCGTTCTGATGGAATTAGAAAACAACAATCACCCCTCGAAAAATAATATTGTCCAATTTGGGGTGTTTGCGTGGGACTGAAATAATATACAGTATATACAGAGCGACGTTCATTGGCTAAATCATCCATGTAGTGTCTTTACTTGAGTTTGCTTAAACCAATTACACATGCATTTCAGAAACAACATGTTGTTCGTAAACCAAACGACATGGCACTGAAATTAAAGCAAAACCAAAACACAAACTGTTGAACTTACGTTTTTCTACTGTCATTAGAAAACAACAACATATATATGTAATATAGAGGATAGAGATATCTTCATTGGTTAAAGTGATGATATTTATAACATAAGGTTTAGATGTACGTATCAAACGATAGACGTTATACAATCATTGATAAAATGAAATCTGACTCTCGAACGATTTCAAACGACACCACGTCACTAGTTCAATTAGTTCATACGATTGTTTAAGATAAAGTATCGCTGTTGATATGATTGATATACGGCGGGGGGAGGGGGGGCGGCAGATACACAAACATAGGAATTTATCTAGCTTTACATTTCATGCTGTTGCCTTTCTTACTGTTACAAAGCGTTATATGAAAGTACATGAGTTCGTTGGAAGCCTGCTTCCACACAAGTTGACTCGTCCTTAAATCAAGTTTTCATTAAAAACATCCTGTCACATATCTAATTAAAACATTCTTTATGAATATGTATAAAAAATTATAAGTGAATCCGATTCTTACAGGTTAAATGATCAAGTATTTTACAGTTAAAATGGCCAAGTATTTAACAGTTAAATGGCCAAGTATTTTACAGTTAAAATGGCCAAGTACTTTACAGTTAAAATGACCAAGTATTTTACAGTTAAAATGGCCAAGTATTTCAGAGTTAAATGGCCAAGTATTTTCTGGTTAAAATGGCCAAGTACTTTACAGTTAAAATGACCAAGTATTTTACAGTTAAAATGGCCAAGTATTTTACAGTTAAAATGGCCAAGTACTTTACAGTTAAAATGACCAAGTATTTTACAGTTAAAATGACCAAGTATTTTACAGTTAAAATGGCCAAGTATTTTACAGTTAAAATGGCCAAGTATTTTACAGTTAAAATGGCCAAGTACTTTACAGTTAAAATGACCAAGTATTTTACAGTTAAAATGACCAAGTATTTTACAGTTAAAATGGCCAAGTATTTTACAGTTAAAATGGCCAAGTATTTTACAGTTAAAATGGCCAAGTATTTTACAGTTAAAATGGCCAAGTACTTTACAGTTAAAATGACCAAGTATTTTACAGTTAAAATGGCCAAGTATTTTACAGTTAAAATGACCAAGTATTTTACAGTTAAAATGGCCAAGTACTTTACAGTTAAAACGGCCAAGTCTTTTACAGTTAAAATGGCCAAGTATTTTACAGTTAAAATGGCCAAGTACTTTACAGTTAAAATGGCCAAGTACTTTACAGTTAAAATGGCCAAGTAAAAACGGTTCGTTAGCTGAATTATAATACCAGAGGACATTTTTCTATAATCATTTATTCAATAAAAAAAAGTCGGCGTTACAACATGTAGTATTATTACACGATATATGCACAGCATAAAACGTCAAATGACGTCAATAAACCAAATGACGTCAGGAAAATTACTTCTACGCTCAATGCAGTTCAACATATTTTTTATCAATTCACTTTTTATATGCATGTTAGAATGCAAATAGATAATACTTTTATTTGCAGTATAGTATAATAACACATTGTTTATCGTAATAAATCACTCGGGGTCTATCGACCTTCGCGATTGTATTCCTACTCTTTTGAACTCGAACCGTGTATTATTTTACAACAATGTAATCAAAATTGATGTGTCCCCAAGTATATTTTATACTTTCTATACGTTTCATCTTCATTATGTCGAGCTTTTTTGGAAGGATGTTCTTCTGTCCGCCTCCTTATACTGACATGCAGTTAATTATGCTTCAAATATGTTGACATTTTTATTGAAATTATTTTTTAAACATGTAAGTTCTCTCATAGTTTAAATGAAGCAAAAATATTTTTTCAAACAAGTTTTAACAAACAATAGATTCAATACATTACATTACATTACAAACATGTATATTATTTACATGTTTGACTTTATTTAGTCTCACCAAAAATATAGAACACTCGAACATATAAGGACCTTCTTTTGTTTTGAGATGTTGACATTAACTGCTATATTTACATGCAGTATATACTAGCTATCACAAAGTCTGTAAATCATTTGTATTCATGTCGCGATTTGACTTGACCCTCTTATGAAAACTTTCATATACATATACAGTATTATACGCACTAAGATAAAACCCCGACATACTAAATCGTCTGCGTTATGATATTATCTCTATTTGATAGAGATTTGGTGTGCTGCTTAAATATGATTATTATGCACAATCACAGCCTCTTTGACCTCTGACCTTTCACCATTCGTCAATTAAGAGCTCGGTCATCATGGGAACTTCTTTGACCATCAATTCATCTTTGCATAGTTGTCTAATTTCTGTCATGTATTGTTCAGATACTTCTCGCAAGAATAGAAGACCGTCGACGAATTGAGCAAATCTTCGTTGTGCTTGTGGACCAACCGTCTTTTCTAAATGGTAGCGCATTACTTCAGATACAAGATACTGGATTTTGTCAACGAATTCCGGATCTTCAAGGTTACAGCGGTCAGTAAAGGTCAAGGTCAGCGCCATAAGAAGACATTTTTCTTCTCTGCTCATCTCAAGTCTCTGAAAACGAGCATAAGCCTCGCATATTCTAGTTATTAATTCTCTCGAGAAACATTTGTCGGCCAATTCATTCACGTGGTATGCAACACCATTCCTCGCTAAAATCACGTGACATTCCTCGTTGTAACCTTCGTTCATCAGAATGACAAAAAAATCACAGCGGAAAGCATTTAGAAGATTTGACTGGTCGTGTGATTTTAGTTTCTTAAAACCCGGAATTTGATGTGCAAAGTTATAATACCGTTCTGTCAGACGCTTGATTTTTAAAACATATTCCTTGAATACTTTGATCCTACCGTCTACATCAATGCCGTACTCTTTCAGCAGTTTATAGTACTCGTCTTTTGGAACAGCTTTCATTTCACCATAGGTTTGTAGTTTTACCTGATAACGTTGGTAGTGGTACTTGATGACACTTTGTACTTGCTCTTTGCTTGTTATATTGGGTCCATATGGCTGGATGGCCTCCATTGCGCTGACGAGTTCTTGGAGAAGGTTTTCTGGTGAGCAATCTTCAGGAACAATGTCATGTAAACTTGGGGACGATTTCCCGCTGTCTGTTTCGCTGTAAGTATGATCGAATTTAAATGAGTCTATATTGACATCAAAGATTCGCTCCTGTTCAGATTTCTTTTCTTTACCTTCTAACACGTTTACTTGTTTGATAGTTTCTGTCCTTCGTGATAGAGAATACCTGCCTAACTTAGAATTTTCCTTTGACATTCCAAGCTCAAGACATTTCTTTAACCGACATCCGGAACAATTTTCACGATTTTTATTCACAACTTTACAATTACCATCTTTCGAACATTTATATTCTTCATTTCTAATGATAAACCGTCGGAAAAATCCTTTACACGCTTCACAACTGTTGACACCATAATGTAAACCTGAAGCCATGCCACCACAAACAGAACATGGCGGGAACTTGAGAGCCTTTGAGGCATTTTTGACTTTATTTCTGTTCCTTTTATGAGATCTTGATTCTGAGGATGTTTCTTTAGCGCCGCGTGACTTTAAGTCTATTGAGTCATCATATTCATTTTTCTTAGAATTATCGACCGAGTTTTTAAGTGTTTTTGAAGCCCGATCAGAACTACGCCTTCTTCCAGATGTTTTCTTTGGTGCTGACAAAGGTTTACTCGCTGGCAATGTCTGTTCTGTCAACTTAGTTTTACTTAAAAGTAATTGTTTCAAAGGTGACAAGACAATATTGTCTTCAGGTTTTTCTGGTTCTACATTAGCTTCTTGCAATTGATTAAAGTCGTTGTCATTAAAATCTAAATTATCACAAGGCACGGGTGAAAACGATGTCGCAAATATAGGTGACATCATATCAATAAGCTCGTGATTGTTTTCTAAAAGTGATAATCCAAGATCGTCTGCGATGTCTGCTGATTCAAGCGTATTTAGAAATTCCTGTTCAGGATCGATTGATGTGTCAAGAACATTGTCAGTTAGACCTTGAGTGCTGTCTAGCAATTCAGTCGAGAAAAAGTCTCCAAATAAATCAATAGAATCCATCTTAACGTGGTGGTTGTTGTTGTTGTTGTTCTATCTGAAATGAGTCCAAATGAACCTTTATACGTGAATACTCACCACGTTATTAAAGTGTTGCTATTTTCAAAGCGAATAAAAAACAGCAACATCAATTAAGTTAATTAAAACCACTTATATTTG